CAAATTGAAGTTAAAAAAAAAAAAAAAAAAAAAAAAAAAAAAAAAAAAGAAAAAGAAAAAGAAAAAGAAAAAGAAAAAGAAAATCTTGATCACTTGATCCATCCTGTATCTTTTGCATCCCTTTGCCTTCCTGCTCTTCCTCTCAAACATTTTCTAAAGAGACAATTTGTGGTTGACGCTTGATCTAGAGGATGAAGATAAAGAGTACTGGGCCTTTTCCCCCCTAGTGGGGGAGTCAAGGAGTGTCAGCAACTATTAGGAAGTTATTTATTTGCTATGATAACTTATTATTAATTGAAGAGGACTCCCCTTGCCCCACGACTCCCGCCCCCTCCCATTTTACGCTTCAAAATCACTTTTTCTATTAAATCCTATTCGAATCTTGAGTTGAATAGATGGTGTGTTGCTGCATTAGCAACATACCTAGGTAAGTGGCTGATGAGACACATCAGCCCCCTTTTCCCTATATATATGGCTATGGATCTGGCCTACTAAATTCCATATGTTGCTTAACAATTTCTGACGTATGTGAATCTCTTTTAAGTATTATGATATGGTAAGTTAATTTTGAACATAAGCTTCCTTTGGGAACGAATGCCCTTTTCTAAAGAAACAATTGCGACAACCCTCCCCTCAAAACCACTACTACCACCTCACTCACCCACATGGTACGAATGCTCAACACCAGACAGAAGAAGATCACCAACAGCTACTTGCAAAGAAACATAAGCACACATCCCACAAAAGAATTAAGTAAACAAACAATAACGAGAAGTCGAGAATAAAAATTCAAATTAAAAATTTGCACTTGCTACTTGGTAACTGTAATTGATAATTGACAGGTATTTGAAATTGGTTCTAATTTCTTCCATCACTTTCTAGGTACTGCCTACGTGCTAAACGTGTTTTCAGTGAACTCCATGAAAAACCATTCGTTGTGGAGCTTGATCTTCGAGGTAATTGGTTTATGTAACATTTTCACTAATTGCAGTTAGTGAAATGCATGTAAGCATTCTTGATTATGTTTTTTAAGACTCCCAACTTGAATAGCTCAGGCATTGACTAGTTCTTAGGTGAAACATCATTTTTTCTAGTACTTCCTTGATTTGCAAGTTATAACATGGGAAATTAAGATTCTGTACGTGAGATGTGGTTTCATTGATGTCTAGAAGATATGTTATCTCTATATTTGACTTAAAATAAAAATTGTCGAGTTCTGTGGTTCAGAGACTTTAATCCCAAGCTGTTAAGCTTCTTAAACCCGTTGTTTTTTTTGTCGGACCAACCCAAGTTATGCAAGTGTTGGACACAAATCAGATGACATTTGATACGCATTACAACTTAAATTAGCTCAAAAAAGAAGGAAAACAGAAAAAGAATGGACTTCCAACTTCCAATAGGCCATGCATGTTAGTAAGTGAAAGATCCATCAATGAATCTTGCATCATATATTCAAGGTTTGGTGTAGGAGGACACAAATATGAAACAATTCCTATGTTTCCTTTTGAATAGCAAAATTATACATTCATCTTATCCCAATCAGCTAGGTTCTGAAAAGCTCTTTTTTCATTTTCCATTTTATTGATTTTGTTGAAACTAATGGATATTACATGTTGCAGACGATGGATCAGAAATTCATAGTGTTCTTCTTGATTTAGTTGGTCGGTACACCGTACCACAAGTTTTTGTGAACGGCCAGCATGTTGGTGGCTCAGATGGTTTGTACCTTGTAACTCGTATCATTCATCTTGTCTTCTCCATTTGCCATGATATGTATTGCTGACACCGGGGGTTTATTTTTGCATCTTTCAGATACAACAAAAGCATTTTCTACTGGTCAGCTCCAGAAACTTTTAGGTAAAACACAGTGAGCATGCATGTGGTCTAACTGCTCGTGAAATCTGTGTGAATTGGGGGAATAAGAAAAAAGAAGGAGAAGTTATTGATTATAGAAAAGCTGTGAATCAAAGGAGAATCTGTTCGATTGTGCAAGAACATTTTTGCATATCTGGAAATCTGCTGAGTCTCAGTGTAATTGAATGGATGCAACTCATTGCTTATGACATAGATGGCTTTCGTTACATTGAACTTGATTGTCATTTGTCAGTCTTCCTATCATTCTCCACGATGTCGGTCACAATGTTTCGATTGGAATTTCCTGCACATATGACCACCCGAAGTGTAGCGGGAGAAAAACTTAATCGCACCAAAAAGTTCCATTTCGATCCCTATTTGTGTGCATCATATGTTCTACAAAATCTGTTGTCTGATTGTGCTATGCTCTCTTGAAGAAGATACGAGGGTGTTTTCGGTTTTAATCATGTGGGTAATTGTTGTTGGTGGTTCTGTTTGTGCGCGTGTTTTTCTATTTAGTGTTCTTGCTGATGTGATGAATACATTTCTTTGCCTTTGGATGATAAGTGGCAAATGCTGGAACTAATTTGATGGGAGCAAAAGCTGCAAATTTTCAGAAAATAAAAAGTAAACACCTAACTCTTTCAAAAAACTCTGGCTCCGCTCCAACGCTTGGGTTATTTTTATATTATATTAAGTTGAATTGTTTTCTACGATCGAATCCAACTTAGGTTTCTACTATTTATGTATAGAATACTTAAATTTTCCAGAATAATATTCAGGTGAAAAACAATGCAAAGATTTTTTTTCGCACTTCATTGATATAGCGCCTATACTCAACAGGTCCAGAAAGTTATCCACACACACACAAAAAAAAAAAAAGGTTTCAAGAAAGGATCGGGTTCGGGTATCGGGTTCGCTCGCCCGAAAATGGCTCCCTGGATAATTTAGACGCATTTTTAATCGCTCAAATCTCGATTACCGCCTCAAGTGATTTATTTCCTCGAAAAAGCAAAGAGGGCAAAAATTTCAAAACCCCATTTCATCTCCAAGGGTTTTATTTCCTCAATTCATCGATCGATAGAATCTAGTACCAAAAACCCTAGAGATTTGGGGTCAAAAGTCGCTTCCTTTCTCTCTCAAACTTCTGTCATGGCTTGTTTAGTCTCTTCAAAGAGGTAAAAATGTCTTCTTTTGCTACTGATTATGCTAAACTCGGCTGTTGCTGTATTCTTTCGTAACCCTAAATCCCCAAAATCGAACATTTAGATGCTCTTACCCTATAATTTCTCATAATATTTATTGTATAGTTGACAATTTCGTACCTTTTGGTAATGGTTATTGTTTGACTAACTGCGCTTTTCTTCTTTGGAAAAATTTGTCCTTAAAGGGAGTGAATTGATGGTGCAAGGTGTAGAAGGACTTTGATGTGCACAAGTTTAGTAGTGAGATGTCTCTCTTCAGTAGATTTTTTCATAGACGGCCACCTGATGGTTTGCTCGAATTCGTTGACAGAGTTTATGGTAAGCATTTGAAATATCATCAATTTTTTTTGTTGGTATTGGTTCCTCAAGTCTTTCTTGTTTTGAAATTAGTCGCTGAAATTATTGATATTGATATTTAGTCCCTTAATTACTAGTGGTGATTTCAAATTAGTCCCTCTGGAGGTTGGGTTAGTCATTAACTGAACATGTTTATTATACTTAAACCCCTCACTTGTTTGTTCCATATCGGATTTGATGTAACTTAAACAGAAGGGTATAACTTGAAGCCCATGATCAAAAGTTAAGTTAAATGGAATATTCCCTCTAATCAAATGGTAGGTAGTTATAGGCTATGGGGCCTATTTTCAAATAATAATAGGAATTGAGGGACTAAATGGCAATACCAATGCTTTGAGGGACTATTTTCAAATTATAAAATTTAAGGGACCAGTGTAGAAAAAAACTGTCATCAAATAGGTAACTATTAGCACTTGCCCATGTTGCATCTATGCCGAATTCCTGTTTCTATCTACAGTGTTTGATTCATGCTTCTCAACCGAGGTTGTCTCTGATGGAATCTACCATGCATACCTGCACGAGATTGTAACTGAGCTTCATGAAGCATATGCTGACTCTTCGTTCCTTGCATTTAATTTTAGAGAGGGTGAAAAGAGAAGCCAATTTGCTGATATTCTCTGTGAATATGATGTTACCGTCATAGATTACCCACGTCAATATGAAGGCTGCCCTCTTCTTCCGTTGTCCCTTGTCCAGCATTTTCTTCGTGTATGTGAGAGTTGGCTTTCTCGGAGACATAATCAAAATGTCGTGTTGCTCCACTGTGAGAGAGGAGGCTGGCCACTTTTAGCATTTCTCCTAGCCAGTCTCCTGGTTTTCAGAAAATCTCATTCTGGAACTAAGAGAGTGCTTGACCTTGTTCATAAGGAGGCTCCTAAAGGGTTTCTGCGACTTTTATCACCTCTGAATCCTTTACCTTCGCAGCTCCGTTACCTGCATTATGTCGCTAGGCGAAATATGTCTGTGGAGTCATCCTCTGCACGGGCACTTTCTTTGGACTGCCTCATGCTTCGTGCCATTCCAAGTTTTGATTCAGAGAATGGATGCAGACCGCTCATACGCATTTATGGACAGAATCTCCAGGGTGATGGTTCTTCAACTACGACGCTGTTGTCAATGTCCAAAAGGAGGAAATCTCTGCGACATTACCGGCAGGTTTTGGTTTATTTTATTGATTATAAAAGCACAATTGGTTCCTTACCCTATTTGAAAAACTTAAGATGATAAATATATGCAGGAGGATGTTGATGTTATAAAGATTGACATCCAGTGCTTAGTTGAAGGTGATGTTGTCTTGGAGTGCGTTCATCTCGACTTGGATCCTGAGAGGGAAGTTATGATGTTTCGTATAATGTTCAATACCGCTTTCATTCGTTCAAACATTTTGGTGCTGAGCTGTGATGACGTGGATATGCTTTGGGATTCAAAGTGTAGATATCCAAAAAAATTTCGAGCTGAGGTAAGGCCTTCCTTATCTCGCAAGTGATGTTTATATAGAAAGAAATATAAGAAACTTTCCTTCATAATTAGTTTTTCCCTAAAATTTTGGTTACAGGTTCTGTTTGGCGAAGTTGAGAGCATATCCCCTACCAGAGCTCCAACTGCAATATTAAATGGCGAGATGAAGGGTGGGTTGCCCATGGAAGCATTTTCTAGGGTTCAAGAACTATTTGATGGGGTCGAATGGGTTGAGAACAGTGATGATGCTGCCTTCTGGCTGCTCAAACAACTTCAATCAAATGCTTTACATGAAAATATTGAAAGACTAATATTCAATGATGTGAAAGAACTGTCCAGGTTGCAGAGTACGAGTACATCACCTTCAGATTCTGAAGAATCAGGTTCTGTTACATCAATGGACTATGATAGAATTCAGCATGTTGACAATGTTTCTACACAATTACAATCTGATGATGTACATAGCGATCGTATAAATCAATATCCTCAGTTGAAAGGTAAGGGAATCGTGCCAAGTTCCAGTTCTTTGTCACATGAATTGCAACTATCTATGGGTAATAATGTTCTGCGAAAACCAGGTCCCATTGATTCAAACATGGTGACTACACCGCATTCTCCACCTCTGTCACCAGTGCTTCCTTCATCATGTTCCTCTTTTGAAGGGAAACGAGAACCCTCCTTGCTTCCTCCATCCCAATCTCCAATGCATTCATTACCTAATAGAATTGCTCTACCCCCACCCCCACCCCCACCGCCCCCTCCTCCTCCAATTATCTTCTCAGTCACCATTCAGTTATCCTCAAAAACCCTCTTCAACCCCGAGTACAGCTGGAGTGATTGCCCTCTCTACACCAAATCACCTCCTCCACCCCCTCCACTCCTCCCCTATCTTCATCGGTAGAACTCCACACCTCCTCCCACCACCATATCACATCTCTCCACCACCACCCCACCACCACCACGGCCAGAATACCATCCTCGAGTAACAGTCCAAGTCATAACAACTTTGAAACCTACTAACAGTTCTTCCATCACCGCTCCACCCGCTCACCTGCTCACCCCCTCGCTTCGCCCACTACAGAACATAGAGAGACACGACTTTGGTTTCTATCACCAGCCTCCTGTGTCCTCTCCGTAAGGTTCGCATCCAACTCGCACCTCCATCCTCCACCACCCCCTCCTGCCTGGCTACACCCAATAAAAGCTCTACTCTTCCAACACCCTCCCAATCTTCCTTCTAGAGAGCATCCTCCCGCCCGTACCCCTCTCTACTGCTATCAGGACTCCCCACCTCCACCCCCACCAGATTCTACTAAGGGTCCTCCCCTCCCCTCCCTGTCCCGCTGCTATGTCAACTAGGGGGCCTCCACCACACCTCACTGGCCTCGCAACGTTCTGCACGCTCCCTTATTATCTAACCATAAGGCCCCAAACCCTCCACCTCCTCCACAAGTCCCTAAGCCTCCTTCTGCGGGCCCACCACCTCCACCCTTGCCTGGAGGAAGCCGTGGTGTACCCGGTGTACAACAACCTCCAACAGCTAAAGCTTCAAGCACACATGTACCGGGTCCTCCATCAGCGGGAAGAGGAAGAAGTATTGCACCTGGTTCAGGAAGAGGCCGTGGATCTACATTAACAGCTAACATACCAAAGAAATTAAAGCCATTACATTGGGTGAAAGTAACCAGGGCAATGCAAGGAAGTTTATGGGCTGATTCTCAAAAACAAGAGGAGCAACCAAAGTAAGTGCGATGGGGTAAAATCGTTATAACATCAGAACTTTGGATAGTTCCTAAGAGAGCTTTTAGTGTTTCTTCTATCGGAATGGGATTCTGGAAATGCTAGATTAATATCCTATGGGTGGATCATGGCCCTGGATCATGGCCCTGCAAATGTGACCTTTCACAAAAATATCATTTTCCTTTCAATTTATTATTAACAAAAATTTCTTGACCTCTTTAGCGTTTCTGAATGTCACTGAGATGCAACTGTTCCTGCATCTATTTCCTTTCCTTTAAATTATTATTAGTACACGAGTCTTCAATATCAGTTGATGAAGTGTAGAAAACTCTACACATTAGGCAATCACATATACAAGAGTCAGAAGTCTGTTTCTTCATTATAAGATTGCTGCATTCTGCAACCTTTTTCAGTTGTTATTTCACAATATTCATTACTTTGGTTAATAATTTTGATGGATAGGGCTCCTGAGATTGATCTTTCAGAATTAGAAAGTTTGTTCTCGACTTCAGCGGCAACGGATGCAAGCCGCGCCGATAAGGGTGGAAGTAAACGCGGAACTAGCATTAGCAAGTCAGAGACTGTTCACCTGGTATAGTGCATGCTTTTCTTTTCATATTCTCATTTCTCAGCTCTTTTTTAATTCTGTTTCAGAGTTGATATTTATCTCACTGAATTATGGCCTTTATCTATTGCCATCTTTCATCATGGCATCATATCGTATTTTGGTAAATAGTTACATTCTATATAAAATATTTAAATAGCACTGATCACTTCCAATATTCATCTGGGTTTTGTTAGAAGTACTTAAAAAGTATTGGCAGTGTCAATCCTCCAGCAGCTACCCCATGTCCATTCAAAATTCAAGCCTCCAAAGACTTTTGGCCTAATTGTCAGCCACTCTTGATCTGAAATTCCTGATTTTAGGCAAACCTTCGCCAATGAATTCAAAACAAGTATTATTATTCTTTTTTGTTCTGTTCCTATTTTAACCATTCTTACGACAATGTTCTGTTCCTGGCAAAAACTTTGAATATTTACTTCTCTACCTTTTAGAGATTTTATTTTGACAATGTTCTTTTCCTGACAAAACTTTGAACTACTTCTTTGTTGAACATTTTTAAGATTTATAATTTTTGGAGTGTCCTAAGCAATTAAGCTTCTGCTTTGCCAATAATGCCAATTTTCTCAAGCTGTTAAGTGTATCTGGCTTATTATCATCAAAATATAACTCTCCAAATCCGGCACGTGCTTCACATTGTATTGACATTCAATGTTAAAATTCAGCAACATTTGTCTTATGTAAACTATTTTCGTGAAATGTTAATTTTCTGGTCCTTATATCTTCAGATTGACATGCGGAGAGCAAACAATTGCGAAATTATGCTTACGAAAATTAAAATGCCTCTTCCAGATATGATGGTAAATGCACTTCTCTTTTGCTTATTTCTTTGTGTTTAAATAAATCAATACTAACGGTATCGTTTGTTCATGTTATTGTACCGCACCATCACATTTCTGCATCTTAAATTGCACAATCTGGTAGAGTCGTCATGTAATTTTCATTTTTTTTCTTTCATATATTAACATATTTATTGACTTGTTAATATAACATTTTCTATTCTATCCTGTATTCTTGTGCCTCCAGCGTCTTTTAGCTGATAGTATCCATATCAGCTGCAAAAACTTTGTAGAAATAATTCTTTGAGTTACACAGAAGAGCACAAAGTTACTTTTGGAGATATATGCTGTATGTTTAATGTGTTTTTCTCATATTTACACAAGCATGCACGCTCACGTATTATAATATTCTGTAGTATTAGTAATATTTTGCAATGTTATAGTATGATTAAAATTTAGCTGTGAACAAAACACCATAAGAGGAGAGTGTACAGGATACTTGAAACCATGTTTAAGACTTGATAGAAAACATGACTGGTAGACAAGCTGTGTTAGTTTATCTAATTCCCCTTCTCTTTGTGATTTGTCTTCAAATTCATGTATTTACCATACAGTTTTTTTTTGTTGTGCTGGAAACTGATACGTGTTCTATTGAGAATCTTATTTGTTAATCAGATGATTCAGATCCTTCTTGAATTTCACTATATTTTGCTGTATTGATAAAGGCTTACATCCTTTTTCATTTTGTTGGTTTTTCCATCATTTCTGTCATTTTTTTCCTTTTTGTTGTTTTGTTCCTCATTTCTATCTTTTTCTCTGGCCGCTGCATGCTGAGGTACAGATGTTCATCTGGTCTCTGTAGAAATGTGCTTATTATTATTACTGTTTTGTTTGCTAGCATTTTAATGAGATAACACTTGATTCCTATTATAAGGGGGGTTTCCTCTTTTCATGTTTAAGTATGATTTGACATGTTAATATCAGCATTACTGATCATTATGGCTAAGAGTTCTGGCATATCTTATTGTTTATGTCTTCTCTGATAATCCTTTGCGTACACACACACACACACACTCTCTCTCTCTCTCTCTCTCTAACACTACATTTATTTATTTTAACTCGAGCAGTAATGAAACTTTATCTAAAAGATATGTTTTTTTTGTTACAACTACTTATTTGTTCATTGAGATTGATCCTCAGAATGCAGTTTTGGCTTTGGATACATCAGTTTTGGACATTGACCAGGTGGAGAATCTCATCAAATTTTGTCCCACGAAAGAGGAAATGGAGATGTTGAAGGTAGAAATTATTTACTTGATTTTTTTTCTAGAAAGAAGATAAAGTAATGCAAGATTGATGTCACTATTACATGGTGCTTGTCCCCATATAATGTTGGGGAGAGAAGTGCTTACTGATGGTCATACTTCTTATCTGTTAGCACTTTTATTTTGTGACTTCTTACTGGTTGAATGATGATGGATATTGCTTGTGGTTTTTTATTTGATGAAAAACTGCTTATGTTCTAGTCTAATGTAGCATAACGCACTGTTTGACTTTTTCTTAAACTGGTAAGGGCTGTCTAGTATGCAAAAAAGTGCAACTCCTTATACCAGTAAGGGGCTGTTTGATGTAGAAATTTGCAACTGCAACTGCAGTTATGATTTGCAAAAGTCACAGTTTCACTATAACCCCAAGGCCATTTTTTGCAGTAATGAGTGGTGACCAGATTGACGTCTATTATATTTTTTTCGTTGTTTTTTCCCTGGGTTTCGTGAATAACCGTTTTTTTTCTAATGTTAGAATCATTCTATTTCTTTGGTATTTGCTTCTGGCTTCTGCTTTACCTTATTCAGGATTTACATTTAATTATTTTGCAGAATTATAATGGAAAGAAGGAAATGCTTGGGAAGTGTGAGCAGGTTTTGTTCTGCTGCCATTATTTGCATATTTTATGTCATATATGCAGTTAATGACTTACGCATACTTCAATAATTATTCCAGTTTTTTCTGGAGCTGATGAAGGTCCCTCGAGTGGAATCCAAGTTGAGGGTTTTTTCCTTTAGGATTAATTTTTCTAGTCAGGTATCTATCTCTTGTTCTTTTCCTTAAGATGATTACACAATGCATATGTTTCTTTATGCTTGCAATATTTTAGTTGACTTCCTTGAGCAAAACCTTTATTGAAAAATTAACAGGTTAAGGATCTGCGGTCCAATCTAAACACAATCAACAGCGCATCTAAAGAGGTAGCTTCTATATAGAGATATATTGAAAGGAAGAGGCTACCCTTTAAAGTAGCTGATCCTGATGTTTTAATTATTATTCCAGGTAAAAGATTCTTTGAAATTGCGGCAAATAATGCAAACTATACTTACGTTAGGAAATGCATTGAATCAGGGAACAACAAGAGGTACTAAAGTTTGCATGAAAATTGTGGAGTTGTGTTGTATTAGAACTGTTGGGTGAGAAGCGGTTTCTTTCTTGGTTTTCCAGGTTCTGCCGTGGGATTCAAGCTTGATAGCCTTTTAAAATTGTCAGATACCCGAGCGAAGAACAATAAGATGACACTAATGCATTATTTATGCAAGGTTTGCACTATAGACTCCTTTTTATGCAGACTACCTG